TCCGTCCCTGTCCCTGTCTCCAGTTTCCCACTGGTCTTTATAGCACATGGCTCACCAGATTCTTGGCTGAGGCCAGCGAAGCTCCCCCGTCCTTTGGTGCCGAGTCCTAGTACAAGCTGAGCACCACCAATCCTACCTTCCTCTTCTTTTCTCCCAGTAGCACCGGCTCTGCTCCTCGTCATCCTGCCTTCTTTAATGTCTCCCCACATGAACAGCCACACCCAGGGCTCTGCGCCCCTGGAAATGGCACTTCTTTTTTCCTGTTCATTCATGGAGGAGAGGGTGGGGGCAAAGTTCTTGGAGCTCAGTGCACTTCTCCCTCCGCTCAAAAATGGGTTGTCTTTGGAAACTGTTCCTAATTCAGGTAAACCAGCCCTTGGGCCAGACTTTGGATCACGAAACATTGGATCCAACGTTTTCACATGGTATAGTCATGTGAGCTCCATCTGCTGCCTGAAGTGTGTGTGTATGTGGGGGGGTGGGGTCTTGTGCCAGGGAGCCCCCTTCCAAGCTGGGTGAGCAGCTTTCTCACCTCTTACCCCACTTCTTACCAGGAACCAGCCTGGCCACTCAGACTCAGAAGGCGCCCTTTCTCCTTATATAAGCATTGTGCCCTGACCCCCAAGTGCAACCTGAGGCCCCATTGGTTTTTGTCTGCCACCCTGAGCTTGCAGACCACTCAAGCCCCAGGCCCTTCTCAGAATAGCTGCTGCCTAGTCATGCCTCCCCATCTTCTCTTGGGGAAGCTGATTTGGCTTGTTCCTCAGGGTAAGACTATTCTCATCATTGACTTTCATTTCCTCAGATTCAGGCTGTTGAAATCTTTTTGGACCCTAAAGCTATTAACCAGTCTGTTAGCTCTCCTTCTGACTTTGTGTCACCTATCAGCCTGATGAGTGGGCCATCTCTGCTTCTATCCAAGTCACTGATAAGGATGCTAAACAGTCTGGGCTAAGCCCAGGGACCTGGGGCACCCCTTGGAGGCCTCCTTGGAGACACTGACAGGGAACTATAACTACCCTTTGGGGAGCCAGTACACCTCCCTCCCTCTCCTCCACTGGAATAGAATGAGATGCCCCTTACCAAGAGCTTTGGTAAATCAAAGTGAGCCCTCTCTGGGACATTGCCTTCATCCCCTAGCTGAGCAGGAAAGGGAATGAGGCTGGGTTGGCACAACCCACTCTGGACGATGCATCCTGGCTCTGGGTCATCCTTGCGTCCCTTTTTGGACATTTACCAACCATCTCTTGAATGACCACACCAGAATTTCCCCAGGCATCCCAGCCCACCTCCCTGGTATCTATCACTGGCAGTCTATCTTCTCTTCCCCTTTTGGAAAATTGGGACATTTTGTCCTACTCTAGTCTCAGGGACCTCTCCCATTTTCCATGATCTTTCACCTTTCATCTTCCCATTCTTTCAAGACCCGAGGGTCTGGGCACCTAGAATAATCCAGGGCAATGGCTGCTGCTGCTCCCAGACTTCCATCCACTCCCTGGAGTCAGTTTGTTTCTGCCCTTGCCAGGGCAGAGGTCATCCTTCCTGGCAGAGAAAAGAGAAAGAAGATAAAAGGGGGCAGGGCAAGGCTTTGGGCAGGGCGTGGACAGAGGCATTCCTGGCACCTGCCCCTTCCCACACTCCCCCTCCTTTCCCAGATCCTTCCAGTCAGGTTTCCCACTAGACCACACCCTTGGAACTGCTCCTCCAAGGTCCCCAAGGTCCTGCCTCTGCTGACTCTGTGCCAGGTTTCCTTCTGGCTTCTGTTGGGGGCTCTGAATCCATCTCCTCTTCACTGGCCATTCCCCAAGGCCGCGTCCTCTTGGCCTTTCCTCATCACTCCACACATGGAGATCTCCTCCACCTCCTGGGTTCAAGGGTTGTTTCCATGCAGATGACAGATCCCATAACCAGCCCAAGTCTCTCTCCTGGGCCTCCAGTCACATATCCTCAGATGTGTGTTGGCTCTTGGTGCCAACAGACATCTCAAGGCCAACACAGCCAGAAGAGAACCCCCTGAACCCACCTGTCCCATTTCTGTTGATGGCACCCCAGGCCACCTCTCACCCAACTGCCTTCCATTTTCCCTGGATATCTATCTTGTCTGCGCCTATTTCTCCACATGCTGTCTCCCCCATTAGACTCAGAGCTCAAGGGCAGGACTGTCTGCTGCCTTTCTTCGGGTCCCCTCTCCTAGGCACAGTGGTGGACACAGGCCACATCAGCTAATCAGGGCTTGCTGACCTGGTGTCACTCTGGCTGGCCATTTCCCTCTTCCTCTCCCTGTTCCCCTTTCCCTATACAGTCAGTTGCTAAGTCTTGAGTCTTCCTCCACATCTTCCATATCTCCTTCTGTCCACTCCCCTGTGACCACCAGCCTGAGGCTGGTCTTCATTCCATTCACCTGGACTCCTGCACAAGCCTTCTAACTGGCCCCCTCTAGCTCTGTTTGCCCATCCGTTTTCTGCTCAGCTGACAAACTAACCAACTTCCCCTGTGGAAAAGCCTTCACTGGCTCCCCATTGCCCCACGATCAGAGACAAGTTATACAGCCGGGTGCTTCAGGGGTTCCAGGCTGCCTCCCATCTCCCTTTCCAGCTCTGCCTGAACAGACCTGACACTCCAGGCAGCTGGACTAGGAGCCCTTCCCTGACAGAAACACTCTATTCCCTGCTCATCTCCCTGCCTGCCTTTGGGGTAGATACTTTCTTTTCCCCATTTATGCCAGAATTGGAGCTGGGCATCCAGGAGAAGGGGCTCATACCCCAGCATTCCCGCCCTCATTTTTGCGTGTTCTGCCTCCCTGAAGAAGGCCCCTCCCAACCTGGCCTGGCAGGGTCCTCCAGGGTGGTGGGGAGGGGAGAGGAGGGGAGACCAGCCTGCTCCCCACACCCTTGAGAGACCCAGTGACCAAGGTTTCTCTCCAGCCAGGATGACAGCCTCGTTCCTTGTTCCTGCCGTCAGACTTTGGTTCTGCAGATGGACACTGTCTTCCCAGAGACCAGGTAATACTGTCTCTTAGCTCCAGGCAGTCTTGTCTTCTGACCCACCGATGACAGCGACAGAGCCATGGGACCCCCTGTGGAGCATGGCACAGTGCATGGGTAGCTGCCCAGGGGCTTGTCTGTGGCCCCCTCCCTCCCTCCTAAGCTTCTCCGACACCTGCCTTCAGTGGAAGGCAGCGTTGCCTGGACAGACCTCAGCCCTGTTTCCCTGGGCCCCTGGATTGTCCCCCTCCTTAGCCAGGTCCTGGGAAAGGCCGTTTTATACCCAGCGGTCCCCTTAGCAATGGACACACACTGACCATAGACCTGACATAGAATTTGCCAGGGAAGAAGGTGGAGGCTTTCCCAGGGTTGGGAGTTAGGAATGCTGGACTCCCTTGCAGACCCGAGACTCAGTGCCAGGCCCCAGGCCAGGAGGAAGCCTTGCTGGACAGCAAGGTGGATGACCTAGATCTGCAGAGGACAAATGGGTAAGCAGGCCTCCTTCCTCACCCAGCTGTGAAGCAGCAGCCTAGGCCTAAGCAACCGAGAGAGCTGGGAGCACCATCAGTCAGGCCTGGGCGCCAGGGGCTTCTCACCGCCTGCCCCTGCCCCTGCCTCGGTTCCTGTGGCAGTTCCCAGGCCGCTTCCCCATGGACTGCCCTACGGCCCCCCCCCCAGGATTAGTGAGCAGGCATGCAGTGGTGGCCTCTCCCAAGCTGAGAGGAGGCAGAGCCTGAATGAAGCCAAGGCCTAATGGTGGAATGCCAGCAACTCCTTCCTGGAGGAGAAATCTGGGGTCCTCCCCTTTCTGCTTCCCCCCAGGGGCCCATTTGCCCCATGCAGGGCTCTAGGCCCTTTTGTAGCCAAAAGAGGCAACACCCTCCCCTTCCCTCCCCACTCCTCTTCCCTCCTCACCTTCCTCTTCCCTCCCCTTCCCTCCCCTTCCCTCCCCCTGCCCCTTCCCTCCCCCCTCCTCTTCCCTCTCCTTGTCTCCTCCCTCCCCCTTCCTCTTCCCTTATCCCCTCCTCTTCCCTCCCCTTGTCTCCCCCCTCCCCCTTCCTCTTCCCTCTTCCCTTCCTCTTCCCTCCTCCCCTTCCCTCTGTATGAGTGTACCCATATGTACGTACATGAATGTGTTGGTGGTATGCCTGGCTCCAGGAGCAGTGTGCACATGGGGTATGTGTAGACGTGTACACGCACACACACGTGGCTGTTGGCATCATTGAAGTCACATTGACAGGGAGAAGCTGGACCACAGCAGATACTCTGAACCCAGGGTGATCCTTGAAGTTGGGCCCTGAAGGAGAATGGGTCAGGAGTGAGCTCCAGGTGGGGTCAAGGGCAGGTGCCAATTTGTGGGATGTGAGCAGGGCAATATGGCCATGGCCAGGATGTGGGGCACAAGCCCAGACCCTCAACCGGGGGAGAGCAGAGTGAGTACAGAGTAAGACCACCTGCTGCCCAGGGGTGGCCCAAGTGACCTCAGATGGGGTCAGGTTGGCCATGACAGGAGGGAGAGAAGGGAGGCAGTAGGAGAGACTCAGGGGCAAGGTAGGGGGGCTGGGGCTGGAGGGGAGGGCAGGCTGCAGAGGGCATTGGGAGGCCACTGGCCAGCTTCATCCATGGGTGGCAGGTTTGTCATTCATTGGATGATCCTGAGCTCCCGTGTGGCCCCAGGACATGCGTCTTCCATGAATGAGTACCTGTCACCTAGGACAGTGCAGTCAGCAGGAGCTAGTCCGAGAAATAAGCTGAAAGAACCTGGAGAGTGTGGGTCAGCCCAGAGCCAGAGACTGAGGGCGTACCTAGCCTGCGATTTAGAAGTCAGGCTTCCTCCTTGAATCTGAGGGAGCTCTGGGCCCTGCCGAGCTGTCCGCCACCTGGTCAGCCCTCCAGGAACCTTCCTCTAGCTGAGCCGACCCCTCTAAGGTGGGGGTGCTTGACCCTGGTGGCATGGAATGGGGGAGGGGCAGATGGGACAGTCAAAGTCACAGGTGTGTGTCCACAGGTTCACGGCCTGCTTCTTCAGCTCCATTGCTCTGGGGGATCTGGAGGCTGTGAGGGAGCAGCTGAAGGAGATTCACCAAAGGGGCCTGGAACTCACACATCCCTTTCTCCGAGGTGAGATCTGCTTGTGGGCGGAGGGACCAGGGTCAGGGGCCCGGCTTCAGGCAGGAGTAGAAAGCTCAGGGTGATGTCCTTTCTGAACTCAGCCTCCTTCTCCCAAACGCAGGTGCTTACAGACACAGTGTGGGCCGCAGTCCTTGGCAGGCCCCGGGGGGCAGGACTGGAAGAGCATTGGCACAGCACTGACTGGGCCTGGGCAGGGGTATAGGCCAGCACTGAGCCCAGATGGGCCATCTTTAGGGATGATGGGGCCTGAGGTCTCCCACCTCCCCCCATTCTGGATGGCAAAGGCTACCCCAGCCCCAGGCTGGGCAGAACCCACAACCGAGCCCCCTCTCACTGTCCTCCCAACAGAGGGAACCATGGGGAAGACCTGCCTGATGAAGGCGCTGCTGAGGTCTCAGGACAAGAGTGAGCAGCAGGTCCTGGCCATGGTAAGGACTCTGCTTCAGCACGCTGAGGAGCACGGGGAGCTAGCCACTCTGCTGAACGCTTCCTACACAGACAAGGTCTACCGGGGTGAGATCCAGCCCCAGGACTACTCTGGCCTCGATTTCCTCATCTGTAAAATGGGGAGAATGGACCCCAGGCTATGACCTTCAGAGAGATGCAAAGAGATTATGCAGTTTGTGAGCCCTTGGACAGGACACTCAATGCCTTTGGGGAGATTGTGACAGGGCATTGGGGAAAAGAAAAAAGCAGAATAGCTATGTGAAAAGTGCTTTTAGAAGGTCCAGAAACTGGCCCAGGTGGTGGGGGAGGGAGGTTACCCTCCTGCTGAGCCTGGGGGAGTGGGACAGGTAAGACCAGAGCAGGCTAGGCCTTGGGCCCCTGAGAGGGGACCCTCTGGTCCCTTCCCTGTGTCCTCAGGACAGACAGCCTTGCACATTGCTGTAGAGAGGGGCCTGCAGGGTGTTGTCCAGCTGCTGGTGGAGAAGGGGGCCAACCTCCGAGCCAGGGCCACGGGCTTGTTCTTCCAGCTGAACTCCACCAGAGAAGAGTGCTTCTATTTTGGTAAAATGTCCCATGAGGTTGAGCTTGGGACCCTGCCTCAGTTTCCCCTCCCAGCTAGGGCCTGCCCAGGGACAGGTCAAGGGTTCTAGGAGTTTGGGACAAACAGAAAGTGGGCACAAATGGCCAAGGCTCCCCAAGAGGCCTCCTCTCTGGGCCCATGTTTCTCTTTGATTATTCCCTGAGAGTTGAGGCAGTGTGGCACCTGTGAGGCTCCTGGGGCGGGCCCCTCACAGGATGCTGGGGTTTTCTCCCAGGCGAGTACCCGCTGTCTCTGGCAGCCTGCACCCACCAGCCAGATGTGGTGAAGTTTCTCCTGAGCCAGCCTGACCCCTGCCTGGCAGAGGCCCGGGATTCCCTAAAGAACACGGTGCTGCATGCTCTGGTCCTGGGGGCCAGTGACCATCCTGGAGTGGCTGACATGTATGAGCTGGTGCTAGAGCTCAGCGAAGCCAGGCGACTCAGGGACAGCCCAGCCTCCAAGACCCACTTGGAGAAACTCCGGAACCAGCAAGGCCTGACCCCACTACAGCTGGCAGCCAAGGAGGGCCAGCACGAGGTACCAAGGCCAACTGGACCGATGGAGGGATGGCTGAGGAGGGCCTGGCTGTCCAGCCCCGGGAACTGGCTGCCTCCCCTTCCTCCTAGACCTGGGCGCTTCCTGCCACCCCACACCATCCTGGGGGTTGGGGAGACACCAGCCTTGGGCAAAGGAGGAGGCTAGGATGGGGAAGGGGGCAGGGATAAGGGTAGGATGGGGGAGGGGCAGAGACAAGGCTAAGATGGGGGAAGGGGAGTCAAGGCAGAATGAACACGCTGGGCAGGACTTGTTTCCTGTGTCCAGTCTGCCCTAATGCAGAGCGTGGCTCGTGCACGTGTGTTTAAGAAATGCCTTTGTGGACCCAGGAGCCCTGGCTTCTATCAGCCTCTGGCTGTGCCGGTTCCTGTAGGCAGAAGGAGGGGGCAGAGGTAGGGCCCCAGGGCAGAGGAAGAGAGGCAGAGCCCCAGGCCTCCACCCCTGCCCTGTGGGCTCCACAGCCCCAGACTCACCCTGTCTCTGGCCTGGTTCTCTGTACCCTTCGAGATAGTAACAATAGCACCTACTGTGTGCCAGGTGCTTTACAAAGTTTATGTCCTTTGATCCTCACAACCGCCCTGGGTGGGAAGTGCTATTATCACCCTCATTTTACAGATGGGGAAAGTGAGGCAGACAGAGATTAAAAGTGACTTAAGTGCCCAGGGACCCACATTTAGGAAATATTTGAGGCTGGATTTGAACTCCGATCTTCCTTGACTCCAGGCCCAGAGCTCTGTCTGCTGCAGCGCCCCCTAGCGCCCAAGAGAGAGAAAAAGACAATAGGGGCCCCACTCTACTCCCAGCAGATCTCAAATCCCACCCTTAGGGCTGCCTTTGGGCATAGGCACAGTTCTGGAAGGCTTCCTGTAAAGGACAGACACATTGAGGCACTCTCCTCCCATGAAGGCCTTGGGCAGACCCCTGGGGAGGAAGGGAGTGGGGGGAGCTTGTCGGAAATGGGGGGGAGGGGGGAGCCCTGGGCTTCGGCAGTGACCTTCTTTTGCCTCTCTGCCCCCTCCCCCTCTCCCCTCTGTCCTCGAACTTTCTTCGCCCCCCCGCCGGCATCTTCCTCCCTCCCTTTCTATCCTCCTTGCCCCCCTGCACCCTCACCTCTCTGTCTCCAACCTTCTGCCTCCTGCCCCTCTCCCCTCTCCCCTGTCCCCCTCCCAATGCTGTCCCTTCTGTCCCCCTGCCCCTCTGTCCTCTGATTTTCTTCTCCCTGCCCCACTCCTCCCTCCTCCCATTTTGTCCTCTTTGCCCCCACTCACCCCCTCTGCTCCCCCTCCTCCCTGTCCCTCCCCCCTCTTTCTTGCCCCTCTGCTCCCCCTTCATGTCCTCCCTGCCCCTCCCCCTCCCCCTCTGCCCCTCCGCTCGGCCAGTTGTTCCAATGCATCCTAAACAGAGAGCGCCCCGTGGGTGACCCGCTGCACCACCTATCTAGAAGGTTCCTTGAGTGGACCTACGGGCCGGTGAGCTGTTCTTTGTATGACTTGAGTGAAGTGGACACCACAGAGGCTCAGTCTGCCCTCAAGATGGCCGTGTTCAACCCCGACTTGGAGGTGAGGGCCGTGCCTGGGCCCGCTGGGGCAGCAGAGGTACTGCTGGGCTGCGGATGAGCCCCAAGAGCAGCACTGTGGGGGTGGCTTCGCCAGAGGGAAGGAGAGGCAGGATCCTCGATGGAGGACAGAGAAAAGCCAGCCCCAGTGGAGGTGGCATTCAAAGCCTTTCTCTCTCATCAGAAAGCCTATAAGTTGCTGGAGGTGGAGCCCCTGCACAGTCTGCTAGAATCCAAATGGACTTCCTTTGCTGCTCCAATGTTTGCCATCAGCACCGCCTGGTATCTCGTCTACATGGGGCTTTTCACAGCAATCACAGCCCACCGGCCAGGGACCGAGGGGGAGCCAGGTGATCCTCCCCATCTCAGGGCCCCAGATCCCTCCTGCCCCACTCCCTGCCTGTTGGCCCAGGGGTCCTTGCCACTCCCCTCCCATGGAGGTTCCCCACAGCTGTCTAGGCTGGGGAAAGGGCCCTTTGCCTGGGCCTCAGAGGGGTGGAGAGAGAACCCTGAGCTGCTGGGACAAGAGCACCCTGAGCCTGGCATCAGGGACGGGCCAGGTCCTGCCCAGCCTGGGGTCGCCTGAGCAGCCCCCAGGCAGCATGGCTGGGTGGGAATGTGGAGACTCTCTGGGCCAGGAGGGCAGCAGGGGTCAGGAGGAGGCGGGGGGAATCTCACTGTGCTGGGGGCTTTGTGCAGACTCTCCCTCAGAGCCTTTAGTGGGCATCCTTCCTGAGGCCTTGCCCTGGAGACCTCCAGTATCAACTCAGAGCAGAGTCGAGTGCCCGAGTTTTTGTGAGGCGCCACCCAGGCTTTGGAGAGTCAAAGCCTGCCCTGTCCTGGATGACACTGGAGGTTGGGGATGTGGGGCAGGAGCTCAAAAGAGGTTAGGGAAGGATGTATAGAGCTGGAGTACCTGGCTTTGAGAGTCCCTGACCTTGAGATGATCTGACAAGCCTGCCCCCAGGGACAGAAAGAGAAGCAAGGGCCCAGGACAGAGCCTGGGAGTGTGCCCAGTTAGCGGACAGAGGCTGAACCAGCAAAGGAGACAGGGAAGGAACAGTCGGATGGGCAGGCTAGGGAAGAGCAGGTCTGGAAAATCCACAAGGCCGAAACTGTCTGGATGGGGGTGGTCAAGGATGTTTAGGACCAAGAAGAGGCCATGGTGACCTGGCAGAGAGCAGGTATAGACGCCAGGCCACACAGGATGGGAGAAGAGGGTCTGGAGGACTGGCCAGGAGGGGAGAAGGGACAGTAACCCTGAGGGCTGGGCAGGCCAGGGCGAGGGGCCCTCCTGGGAGCCCAGCATCCTCTGCTCCTGGCCAGCAGCCAGCTTGGGGCACCCCAGGTCCTCTCTGGTGACCACACCAGGTGAGGGGGAAGGATTCAAAGACAGAGAGGAGAGGCCCATTGGCCCTGCAGACCACAGGGCCAAGCCCCTAAAAGGACAAACATAGGACCAGGGCCAGAGTGGGGGAAGAGGCTCTGAAGAAATGAGGTCCATGCAGAGGAGACTGTGAATGGTGGCTGAGGCCAGAAGGCCCAGGGCCTGGGGGCTGAAGAGGCCTGAGGCCCTGGGAGGCCTGGAGCCAGGTCTGCCCCACACCCATCCCCTCTCCTTCCCTCCAAGCATGCTGGCTCTCCTGTCTGCCATCCCCCAGGAGTCTATTGGCCTGCCCCAGAGAACACCTTGGAAGACTGCTGGGCAAGTGTACCTCTTCCTGTCAGCTGCCATGATGCTAGGGAAGATGGTAAGTATGGCCGTGGTGGGGACGAGGCATCGTGCTGGGCCCCAGAGACCTGGCCTCCCAGGCAGACGGGCTTCACCAGAGGCCCATAAGCCCCAAAGCCAGGCCCCAGACCTGCCTGGCTCAGCTGTTTGACTCTGAGGCCGAATAAATGTCATCCCACACTGCCACAATGCCTAGCCCTCACCCTGAGGGGAGAACAGAAGTCAGTGGCGTTCAGCCAGCTCTCATCAAGTGTCTGCTCTGTGCTAGAAACATGAAGAATGTGCCCTGCCTTCTGGGGAGCTTCTATTCTCTTGCCAACCAGTGCAGAGGGAGGGGATAGGCCAGCTTCCAGATGGTGGGAGGCAGACACATGCCAAGATGAGCTGACACTGCTTGTGTCTGAGAAGCCAGGCCTATGGGTGTAGAGGGAAGGGGCTAATGGGCACTGGGCTTCCTGCAGGGACTGGACATCATCTGGATGTGGCCCTTCCAGCTTCTGCCCTTTTCTTCTGAAAAGCTATTTCCACATCCTTGGGTAAGTGAGCCAGTCAGAGTACCAGGCATTGGCAGAAGAAACCAGGCACCAAGGGGAAAACTCTCTTTGAGGGCAGACAGACAGGCAGGTGGGCAGGCAGGAAAGTGGCCAGTCAGACAGGTAGGCAGACAGGAGGTGGGCAGGTGGGCCACCAGCTCCACTGCTTCCTCTAAGTTGACATTAACCTTTAATGGTTCCCAGTTGGGCCCCACTTATGCAGCCAGTTCCAGATGTCCTTGGCCACTCTCTCACTAATTCTGCCATCTTTCATGCTTGGATGCCAAGAGAACATGAATGGCTGTCAAACCATCTACACAAGTCTTGGGCAACCATGTCCACAACCTGATGTTGGGCAAGGTTGAATGGGACTCACAATTTCACTGGGGGAGGGGATTCACAGGGAAGAAGCTCCTTCCACCAGCAAAAGTCAGTGCCTTCCCTGCAACCTGACAGCAGCCCAGGATCACCAGGCTGGTCAGCTTGAGGCAGAATTTGAGGCCAAGGCCAGGGCTGACTGCCCACTCTGCTCTCTCTCCTCTCCCCTCTCTCCCTCCCTCCCTCTCTCTCATCTCTCCCTCTCCCTCTCCTCCCCTCCTCTCTCTCTCTCTCTTTCTCTCTCTCTCTCTCTCATCTCTCCATCTCCCTCCCTCTCATCTTTCCTTGGAGCCAAAGGAGTTGCCACCCACTCCTGGTGAGGGCCCAGCTCCTTCCTCCTAGCGCTGGGGGTGCTGCCTCCTGCCCCACCTCCCTATCCAGTGTCACACTCCCTGCCATGCCCCCCTCCTCCCCTTTTCTCCTGCTTCTTTCTTAAAGTCTCCCTCAAAAAGTGGCATCACTGGTGCCAGGGGCCTCCCTGGTTCTCCCCTGTTGCACTTGAGGGCAGGCAGAGCTATTCCCTGTTACCTCACTCTCTGCAGGGCACAGAAAGACTTCTTTTCCTTCCCCATCCCCCACCCCCACCCCCGGGTTCAAAGCCAGGCCAACAGTCCTCTCCTTGGCTTCTCTGTAGCACCTGTTTGCTGTGCTGAAGGCTCAGCTACAGAAGACCTTAAATAAAGCTTCCCCTATTGGGGATGGCCTGGATGTCAGCGATGCTGGTCTGCCCAGCGACTTCTCTGAAAGTTGGCCCATCCCCGCCATGCCATGACCCAAGGCAAAGCAAAGCAATCCTTGGATAAGGAGGAGTAGAGGAGGAGAAGAGGAGGAGAGGAAGAGAGAAGGAGGAGGAGAGAAGAAGAGGAGGGAAGGGAAGGAAAAAAGGGGGAGGAGATGGGGAAAGGGAGGGGAGGCAGCAGCGGGAGGAGCTCTCCTGAGGCCCTGGGCACCTGGGGTGGGGCTGGTGGACAAGCAGGCAGGGAATGGCCTCGCCTTCAGTCTCTTTCAGGCCGGCCTGGTGCTCTGCTCTCTGGTGCTGTCCTGGCTCCAGGTGGACAACGTTGTGGTGGTACAGGGCGTGGCCCTGGTGCTGGGGTGGTTTGGTCTGCTCTATTACTCTCGAGGCCTCCGGCTCACTGGCATTTATGCAGTGGTCCTGCAGAAGGTGAGCCGGGACTCCAGCTGGCTCACATCAGGCCCCACCTCTGGGTCTCTGTTATCCCATCCCTCCTAGCCTGCCCCCACCCAGGACACCAGGGACCCTGGAGGCCAGGGCAGGTGGTAAGTACTGTGAGCCTCCTTGGCTCACCAGACCTGCCCTGCAGGCCAAGAATGAGCAACAGGAACCGGAAGACATAGTTTACCAACGCTTCAACTAGGCCAGTGACTGGAGACTTTGGTCCTAGTCCACCTCCTCAGCTGCCCATCCCTGCCTCCGCCCCCAGCCAACTGATTTCCTGGGGCAGTGGAGGGAAAGGGAGTGGCATTCCCAACAGAGCTGAGATCTGCCTGTGTCAGTCAGTCAATCAATGAGCATTTGTTAGGGACCTTCTGTCTAAACTTTAGCCACTCCTCATATTAATGGACAGTCCCTTGGCTTCCTCAGATGATTCTCCAGGACGTGGTCAGGTTCCTGTTGGTCTATGTGGTTTTCCTCCTGGGTTTTGCATCTGGTGAGTAAAGGCCAGCCCTTCCTAGGGGAGACATGGGTCTTCTACCTCCCCCCACCTCCACACACACCCAAGAGGGGCTCCATCATGCCCCCAAACTATCTTACTTTGTATGACAAAAGGGTGGAATGGTGGTAAGTTGGTTGATGGGGAGAGGGTCAGCCTTAGGCCCAGCTGGAAGACCAGCTGGCTGGGCCCCAGCATCTAGGGGATATTTCTGTGTATGTCAGTCAGTCAACAAACCTTAAATGCCTACTGTATGCTAGGGACTATGTGAAGTGCTGGGGATTCAAAAAGAGGCAAAAGACAGTCCCTGCCCTCAAGGAGCTTACAGTCTAATGGGGAAAACAACATACAAATATGTACAAAGCAAGCTCTATACACAACATAAATAGGAAATAATTCACAGAGAGAAGTCACTGGAATTAAGATAATGATCATAAATAATAGCCATGATAGCTAACCACAGCACTTACTACCATGTGCCAGGCACTGTGCTAAGTGCTTTACAATGATTATCTCCTTTGGTCCTCACAACAGCCCTGGGAGGGAGGTGCTTTATTATACCCACTTTACAGGTGAGGACACTGAGGCAGGCACAGGTGCCTTGACTTACCTAGGACCACACAGGCCCAGGACTTCATGTACTGCACCAGGGGAAGGCTTCCTGTAGTTGGGGCCTGAAGGAAGTCAGGGAGGTCAGCAGTCAGAGGGGAGGAGGAGAGTGTGCCAAGCGTGGAAGGCAGCCAGCCAGAGAGAATGCTCAGGACCAAGACAGAGATGGGAGGGTCTTGTTCATGGGACAGCCAGGAGGCCAGGGTTTGCTGGATCAGAGATGTTGGGGAGTCAGGTGTAAAAAGAATGGAAGGGTAGGTAGGAGGTGTCAGGTTATGAAGGGATTTGAATGCAACTTTGTATTTGCTCCTGGAGGTGATAGGAAGTCACTGAAGAGTATGTGTGTGTGTGTGTGTGTGTGTGTGTGTGTGTGTGTGTGTGTGTGAGAGAGAGAGAGAGAGAGAGAGAGAGAGAGAGAGAGAGAGAGAGAGAGAGAGACATGGTCAGATCTGTGCTTTAGGAAAATCACTTTAGTGGCTGAGTGGAGGATGGGCTGAAATAGGCAGGCAGACCCCCAGAAGATGTTGCAATGGTCCAGGTGTGAGGTGATGAGGTTCTGCACCAGGGTGGAGACATTGTCCAAGGAGAGAAGGGAGGGTGTTGGAGAGATGCTGCAGAGGTGAAAGCAACAAGAGATGTTGCAAAGCTGAAATTGACAAGAGACATAGAGGTGAAATTGACAGGCCTTGGCACTATATTGGATATGGGGGTGAGAGAGGAAACCAGGATGATTCCTAGGATTGTGAGACTTGGGAACTGTGAGGGTGGGGGTGCCTTGAACAGTAATAGGGAAGGTAGGAAAGGAGAGGGTTTAGAGGCAAGGATGATGAGCCCTGTTTTGGCTATCTTGAGTTTAATATGTCTGCTGGATACCCAGTTCAAGATATCTGAAGGGCAGTTGGAGATGTGAAACTTTAGGTCAACAGAAAGTTTGAGGCAGGATAGGGATATTTGAGAATCATCAGCATAGAGATGGTCATTAAATCCATGGGGGCTGACGAGATCACCAAGTGAAGTAAGACAGAGGGAGAAGAGAAGGGGACTGAGGATAGAACCCTGAGGGACACTGATGGCTGGAGGATCCAGCAAAGGAGACAGAAGAGGAATAGTCAGAGAAGAAGGAGAAGAGCCAGGAGAGAGAGGTGGGTGTCCTGAAAACTCAGAGAGAAGAGAGTATCTAGGAGGAAGGAGAGACCAACAGCGTCTAAGGCTGCAGAGAGGCCGAGGAGAGTACAAACTGAGAAAAGCCCTCCGGATCTGGTGATTAAGAGATCTTCGGTAACTTTGGAGAGAAGTTTCAATGGAATGATGAGTTCAGAAGCCAGTTGTAAGGAGTTAGAAAGAAAGCGAGAGGAGACAGTGGAGGAGACTAGTGTAGATGCCTTTTCCAGGAGTGTGACCACAATGGGCAGATGAGATAGCAATGATAGCAGGAATGGAAGGGCCAAGTGAGGATTTTCTCAGGATGGGGGAGACACGGGCTTGTTTGTGGGCAGGAAGGAAGGAGCCAGTGATCGGTGTGTGCCCCTCCTCCCCTCCCCCCACCCTGCAGCTCACCCAGCCTCACCCCTGGGCCCTTGGTGTTCCCTTTTCCCTACCAGCCCTCTCGGCTCTGACCAGCCAGTGTCTGGCACCTGGCCGCTGTCCCTACCACAGCATGGGGAGTGCGTCGGGATCTCTCTTCAAGCTGACCCTTGGGCTCGGGGACCTGTCGGGTCCTGAGCACTCCAAGTTTCCAGTCTTCTTTCTCCTCCTCCTCATCACCTATGTGATTCTCACCTCTGTGCTCCTCCTCAACATGCTGATTGCCATCATGACCCAGACCGTCAATATGGCGTTCTCCCGGAATGAGAAAATCTGGCGTGTGCAGGTACAGAGCCCCAGTGGCCCTGGGGCGTCTAGACCCAGGGCCTGTCATCCCCAGCAGCTCAGAAGGCAGAGAGGCACATGGTGCCCAAGATCTGTGACTGGGGGTAGCTGTTAGGATCTGGAGGGGTTGCCTTTACTCTCCCAGGCCCCAGAGTTCTGGGGGTGAGCCTGACATTCCTGTTAGTGATCAATTCTTGTTGATACCATTAACAAGGATCCACATCTCTTTGTTTACCCTCTGGATAGGTTTATGGATAGAATTATTCTCCCCATTTTATAGATAAGGGGGCTGAGAGCCGGACGGTAAGTGACCTCCCCAAAGTCACCAAAGTGAAGGCCAGGGGTTTAGGTGGAGATACACCCATGAATGAACCTGTACTGAGTGCCTACTATGTGCCTGGCATTGAGCTAGGCACTGAGGCCCTGCCCTCAAGGAGCTTCCATTCTACAGTTGGGAGGTGGGAGGGCAGGAAAACAAGGACAGGGATGCATCAATAAAAAATACATACAAAGTCATTTCCAGAATGGGGGAGGGGGCAGGAAAGGGGCAGGAAAGGTCTTGTGTAGGAGGTGAAGGGAAGGTAGCTGGGGATTCAGGAAGCAGAGGGGTAGAGGGAGAGCAGTCCTGCCCAACACACCTGGGGTCCCTTAACCCCCCTCCCTGCCCCACCCACCACACCTGGGGTCCCTTAGCCCTCCCCTCCCCTGCCTGCCCCACCACTTGCCCTGCAGGGGTACTTTCCCACAATCCCAGGTCCATGTCTTGTTCAGGCTGGAAGGGGCTGTGTTGGAGACGGGGATCCCTGGGGCTAAGCCTCTCCCATGAGGACTCCTGGGCTCTGACATGGGCTGAGTAGCCTCTCACTGCTGACCTTAGAGAGCTGTCACTATCTTGGACCTGGAGAGGTGTCTGCCAGAGGCCTGGCGGTGGTGGCTTCAGGAAGGCAAGATTCACTCTAACCTGGAGGTGGGGCTGACCCCGAGCCAAGAAAGAGACCTGAGGACGTGCTTGCGGTAAGGGCAGGAGGCCCCCCCTCATCAGACAAGTTACCCTGGAGGGGTCATGGCTGATGGGAGAGGGCTCCTGTCAATCAGTCAACAATCATTGTGGTGCCAGGGTAGAGCCAGTAGTAGAGGGGCTCCCCTGCATGACCAGAGCACAGCCTCACCCCTCAGTGGCCTACTAGAGTGGGGGGGGAAGGGCTCCTGCCCCCCACCGCTGCTGGGCTAAGGAGGGTGTGGGGCACTAGGCAAGTCACTTCATTTGGGAGCCTTGGCGTTCTCATCTGTAAAATGGTAGTGATCCCTGCTTGACCTTGAAGCTGTGAATGAGGGACTAAGGAAGATGCAGGAGCCTGGAAAGGGAGCCAGGGACCATGCAGGACGGGGGAGAGGGTGGGTTACCCTGCTCATACCCCCTGAAGGCAAGTCCCATAGCTGGGCAAACCCCTTCACACCCACACCATCTTCAACTTCCTCTCCTGTAGGGTGAATGAAAGGAGACAGGCAAGGGCTGCTGGGAGGAACCAAGTCATGGGCATCAGTGAAGACCCCACTGTCCCCCCAGGTACTGAGGCCAGGGCAGGTGGTGCCAGCCTGGGCTGAGGACAGGCAGTCAGAGAGAATGCCAGAGGCTCCCTGTGGTGAAAGCCTGATCCGGCCACAGCTCCAGACCTTCTGGGAGGGCATGGGGGGGCCTGGCACCCCCAGGAAAGGCTGAGACCTTGTACTCGGCCAGAAAGGCACCCTCTTGGCACTATTGTGGCCTGCAGGCAGAAGGGCAGCCCTGGCTTGGCTTGATATGAACCCTGGGCCCATCATGTTTGTGGACCCAAGGATGGGGTCCCTCCCACAGGGGATGCTCCCGCTACGGTCCCAAGGGGGCCAGCAGGCTCTCCCCACAGCCAACCCAGGCTTCCCAAGGGGAGTGGATAAATGGCGATTTCATGACATCACAGACAGAGACATTTTCATAAATGGTTATAGTCCATCCAGATTACCTACAGAAGGGGGCGGGGGCAAGCTCAGGGCAGGTTAAAGCCAGGTAAACCTTCAGGGACTGTTCTCTGTTTCTGAATGATCTGTGTATCTTGAGCAGAATGGCCCAACACTTGGTATATCATGGGGGGAGGGGCTGGTACCACCCACACCTGGTACATCATGGGGGGGCTGGCACCACCCACACCAGGTACACCATGGGGGGGCTGGTACCACTCACACCTGATACATCATGGGGAGGCTGGTACCACCCACACCTGGTACATCATGGGGGGCTGGTATCACTCACACCTGATACATCATGGGGGAGGCTGGTACCACCCACAGCTGGTATATCATGGGAGGCTGGTACTACCCACACCTGGTACACCATAGGGGGGCCCTCTGGTACCACCCACACCTGGTACATCACCAGGGGCTCTGCTCAGGCAGCCAAACTCAAGTTGCTGAGTGGTGACCCACACTTCATGTCTAGCTCCCCGTTTATGGACCTGCTCTTTCTGCTGTTCCATAAATGCCCAGGCTAAATCTGCTACCCTGAAGACATGAGATAAGCATAAGTGAGGGCAGGTGCCCAGCAGCCCCCCACCCTGCCTGGGGGATGCAAAGGGGTGTGGCCCTTGTGGTCCCCAGCCCCTGTGAGGCAGCTAGGTGGCAAGGTGGCATGGTGGCACAGTGGCTATGTGGCATGGGGGCTAGGTGGAGTGGTGGCTAGGTGGCTCAGTGGCTAGCCGCTGCACCTGGAGGCAGGTTCAGACCTGTCTCAAGTGATGTGGCCCTGACAAGCCCATCCCAGGGCTGGTGGGAAGATGGAAGGAGATGATGTTTGTATATCGCTCTAGAAATACTAGCTACTGTCACTAATATAGAGGGCACAGGCCAGACTCAGGCTGAATGGCTACACGCACAGGCAGGACCTTGCTTCCTCCTGCCGGGCTGGTATAGACACGGCTAGGGGAGGTGGGGAGCTGGTGACCAGCAGGAAGGAGGGGAGGGCTGCATGGAGGACCAGGAATGTTTCCCAGGATTTTGCATAAGGCAAAGACTACTGTTGGGGAAGGGTGAAGGCAGAGGGGCCTTAAAGGAATGAATTTTATTTTTTAAAAATACTGATACACCTGAACTTTGTCAGGAGACAAATATACCTTTTTTTTTTTTAAGATCCCTAAGGTATGGAAATACAAGCGTGGTTCAGTGGTTACAGCACTGGTCCAGGAGTCAGGAAGACTTGAGTTCAGATCTGGCCTCAAACGTAGCTGTGTGACCCTGGGAAAGTCACTTCATCTCTTTCTGCCTCTGTTTCCCCATCTGTAAAATGGGTATAATAATTTCATTTACCTCCCAGGGCTGTTGTGAGGATCAAAGGAGACAGTAATTGCAAAGTGCCTGGCACATAGTAGGTGCTCAATAAATGGTAGCTGTTATTGTTGCTGCTGTTGTCGTTGTTATGGGAACCTGAGGAAAGACCTCTTTGGTCTGATAAGTCCTTGGCCTGGGGAACGAAGTTTTCCTTCCCTTGCTCCCTGCTCGCTACCCTGGGAGGCTCTTGGGCCCCAGCTGATCAGCAGCCTCCCTGCAGGCCAGCCACACTGCATAACCCCCAGGCTGTCCTGGTCTCCGCAGGCCACCCAGGGAAGGGGGAGGTAGGGTCCCCTCTTCGCTCCATTGCACACCCTGCCCCCAGCAGGACTTACAGCAAGGCCTAGGGGATGGACCCTTTACACAGGAAGATGGACTGTGCAGGGAGAAGAGGTTGGGCGAAGGTCTGGGATGGGACTCTGACCATCCTGAGGCATCATAGGAGTGGGGGCACCCAGCAGAGAGACCCGCTCTGGTCCTCCCCTACCCCAAACTGACCCTCCCCAGCTGCTCTGTCCTTCTGGCCCCCCAGGACATGGGGGAAGGAGCCCCCAGTACAGGGCAGCCCCCCTCAGCCTCTGAGCCACTTGGTGATGCCCCTACATAGCCTGAAAATTGGACTCATCTCCTCTCAGAAACATTCAGAGCTCCATTCTTCCTGGCCCTGGTCACCCCAGGCCTGCAGAGCTGGCTAGCTGGGTTAAATGCTGCCCCCTCCTCCTGAATAGTGGAGGCCCCTTTGATCACCTGCACCTACACCCCTCTACCTGGCTGTGCAGTGAGGAGGGCCATGTATTGGCCCCTAGCCTCATCTCCTTGTGCAGCTAGTAAGCACCTGCTGTATGCAAAGTTCTGCAGCTCCAAGGACTGACCTGGCTGGGCTGGCTCACAGAGTAAAGGGAGGAACCAGTCACAAGTCCCACCAGGAAGAGGAAGAAAAGCTCAGGAGAAGCACACCACCAGCTCCACCTAGGCTCTATGGCTTCTGGGACAAAGACTAGGTGCTCCAGGGGTGGGTGAGAGAAGGGGCTGGCCCCCTGGCCCCACCCCAATCCTCCCCAAAGGCCAGGAAAGATCCCAAACTACACCATTCCCATGGGAGCAATTAAAAAATTGTGGGGAGGGCATATGAGGGGGGTGATGCTGAGCCAGCCACCAGACCCCAACCCTCTGCTGGGCTTTCCCTAGCCCTCACCAGTAGAAAAGACACCAGTTCTATTTAAAGAGTGCTGGGGGGGGGGCTTCTAAGTCCTCAAGTGTGGCCCTTGGACTGAATCCAGACTTTCCAGAACAAATCCCCTTTCTTTTTTTTTTTAATTTTTATTATTTTATTATTTTTAAATAAATTTATTTTTAGTTTTCAATATTCACTTCCACAAGTTTTTGAATTCCAAATTTTCACCCCATCTCACCTCTCCCCCCACCCCAAGATGGCATGCATTCTGAATATCCCTTCCCCTAGTCTGTCCTCTCTTCTATCTCTCCCCCTTCTCTTATCCCCTTCCCTTCTATTTTCCTGTAGCAGGATAGACTTCTGTACCCCATTTCCTGTATTTCTTATTTCCCAGTAGCATGTGAAAACATTTTTTTAAACATATGTTTTTAAAACTTTAGGTTTCAAATTTTCTCTCTTCCTCCCTCCCCACCCACCCTCACTGAAAAGGCAAACAACTCAATATAGGTTATATATGTGCAGTTATGCAAAACACTTCCTTAGTAGACATGTTGTGAAAAACTAACTCTATTTCCCTTAATCCTATCCTGCCCTCCCATTTATTCTATTCTTTCTTTTGACCCTGTCCCTCCTCAGAAGTATTTCTTCTGATTACCCCTTTCCCAATCTGCCCTCCTCTCTATCACCCCCTGCTCTCTTGTCCCCTTCTCCCCCTTTTCCTGTAGGGTAAGACAGATTTCCATACCCAATTGAATGTGTATGTTATTCCCTCCTTAAGCCAAATCCTATGAGAATAAGATTCACTCATTCCCTCTCACCTTCCCCTGTTCCCCTCCACTGTAAGAGACTTTTCTTTTTGTTTTTTTTTTTGTGAGATAATTTACCCCATTCTACCTCTCCCTTTCTTCTTCTCCTGAGTATAATCCTCTCTCATCCCTTAATTTTATTCTCCAGATATGACCCCTTAATCTTCAACTCACCCTGTGCCCTATCTATCTATCTATATATCTACTATATACATACATATAATTTTTTTCCTCCTACCCTAATACTGACAAAGGTCTCATGAGTTATAAATATCATCTTTCCATGCAGGAATGTAAACAGTTCAATCTTAATAAGTCTCTTATGATTTCTCTTTCCTGTTTACCTCTTCATGTTCCACTTGAGTCCTGTATTTGAAAGTCAAATTTTCTATTCAGCTCTGGTCTTTTCATCAGAATGCTTGAAAGTCCTCTATTTCACTGAATGACCATTTTTTCCCCTGAAGGATTATACTCAGTTTTGCTGGGTAGGTGATTCTTGGTTGTAATCCTATCTCCTTTGCCCTCGGAATATTATATTCCATGCCCTGTGGTCCTTTAATGTAGAAGCTGCTAAATCTTGTGTTATCCTGATTGTGTTTCCACAGTACTTGAATTGTTTCCTTCTGGCAGCTTGTAATATTTTCTCCTTGACCTGGGAACTCTGCAATTTGGCTATAATATTCCTAGGAGTTTTCCTTTGGGGATCTCTTTCAGGAGGAGATCTGTGGATTCTTTCAATTTCTATTTTGCCCTCTGGTTCTACTAATCAGGGCAGTTTTCCTTGATAATTTCTTGAAAGATGATGTCTAGGCTCTTTTTTTGATCATGGCTTTCAGATAGTCCAATAATTTTTAAATTCTCTCTCCTGGATCTATTTTCCAGGTCAGTTGTTTTTCCAATGAGATATTTCACATTGTTTTCTAATTTTTCATTCTTTTGGATTTGTTTTACAGTGTCTTGATTTCTCATAAAGTCACTAGCTTCCAATTGCTCTAACCTAATTGTTAAGGAAGTATTTTCTTCAGTAAGCTTTTGGACTTCCTTTTCCATTTGGCCAATTTTTCTTTTTAAGGCATTTTTCTCCTCTTTGGCATTTTGGACCTCTTTTGCCATTTGGGTTAGGCTATTTTTTAAGGTATTATTTTCTTCAGTATTTTTTTGGGTCTCCTTTAGCCAGCTGTTGACTTGTTTTTCATGATTTTCTTGCATTACTCTCATTTCTCTTCCCAGTTTTTCCTCTACTTCCCTTACTTGCTTCTCAAAATCCCTTTTGAACTCTTCCAAGGCCTGAGACTGATTCATATTTTTCTTGGAGGCTTTGGATGTAGGAGCTTTGACTTTGTTGTCTTCTTCTGATTGTATATTTTGATCTTCTTTTTCAGCAAAGTAAGATAACATAGTCTGACTCTTTTTGCACTGCTTGCTTATGATCCCAGACAATTACTTGAGTTTTAAACTCTTTGTTAAGGTACGAATCTGCTTCCAATATGGAGAGTGTACTGTCCCAAGCTTCGGGGGGTTGTACAGCTGTTTTCAGAGATACTTGTAGGGACCTGTAAATTTTCAGTTCTTCCAAGGTGGTATGATAAGGGGCGAGGTGTTTACTCCTTTCCTGGCCTGTGACCACAAGTATTCCTTTCTGTCCTGTAACTGTGAGGAGGGGTTCCTCTCTACAGCCGCTACAAGCTCCACCAAGCCAACGTTCCTCCTCACCCCAGCACTGCAGCCCAGAACTGTGACCCAGATCCAAACAGGGGCAAAGCAAGAGATTCGTGCCTCAGCACTGGCAAAGAGATCCCTGCAGTCCCTCTCTGATCAGCCACTGGATTCCCCCTCAGAGTGTGGGCCGGAAGCTCAGGAAGCAGCTGCCCCCCCCTCCAGGGCCATGCTCTTGGGGAATGGAGCTGAAACCTCGCCTTCCTCTCTCAGCACCAACAGAAACAGACATTTTCCATTGACCTTCTAAGTTGTCTTTGGCACTCATGGATTGAGGAGTCTGGAAACCTCCACAGCTCCCCAAGATTCAGTCCTCTGAAAGCCTGCTCCAGGTTCGCTGTGGCCTGCGCGCCCACCATGCTGCCCTGCACTCCCAGCCCAGTGCCATATACCTTTCTGATCAATCATCCAGGTTGTCTTGGGCTGGAAATTTGTTTCACTCTGTCTTTTTGTGGATTCTGCTGCTTCAGAATTTGTTTAGAGCCATTTTTTATGAGTATTTGGAGGGGTTTGGAGGAGAGCTCAAGCAAGTCACTGCTTTTACTCCCTATTTTGGCTCCGCCCCCATCTAAATCCCATTTCTTTAAGAGATCCTGAAATCTGTGCTTTGGGCTCTTGCTGTGGGTTAGCCTGCCCTCTCTTCCAATCTTACCACAGCCACATTTAAGGGGCTGATGGGAACAGGAATGAGGAGCAAGATGCATGGGTGAGGCTGGCATCTTTTACTCTCTGCCTTCCTTGGGCTCTGGCCTTCAAAGGCCCTCCATGGGTCCCATCTACAGGCTGCCTCAGCCTGCCTTACAGCTGTCTGGGCTGGCTTCCTTGGGGGCCTGGGGCCAGGATACTGGACTCTGCTGCAGGAGGTTGGGGGCTGGCCAGTGCAGGGACTTGGCTACCATCCACATTGTCACCTGTGGCACCCGGGGGGTGAGAAGGGTCGCTCCTTTGCAATCATAGTGTCCCCTGCTTTCAGAATGAGCATCAATTTCTACAGGCAGATGGGTGACTGTAATGGCCTCCCCCTCCCCCCCACAACAGATAGGGGGCAAGGTGCAGCCCCAACTCCATCCCTGGATCAGCTCAGGTTAATGTAACATGCAGTGTTCTCCAAGGCCTCTTTACACTCATTTTTTGGTCCAGGAACATTCAGCTAGTGAAGAGGAGATTGTCAGGTGACACCCACATGAGATGGGTCCCATGGTACACTGTCCTCAGACCAGCCCCCCAAGCTCTGAGGGTCAGCTTCAATCACACAGACTTAACACCCAAGGGGCCACTTGTCCAGGCTTTAGGGAGACTCTGGGGTCCACGGACTACCCAGACATCCTGTGGACAGATTTCCGGGTGTCTGAGGATCTGTCTTTATTTAAAAATGCATTTTGATAACCACATTCCAACACCTTTGGTTTCTTTTGCAATTCTATGTATTTATTTCATGCATTTAACATTATTTTGAGAAGGGGTCCATGACAGAAAAAAGGGTAAGAATTCGTGCTCTGGGCCAAGCTGGGTCACAGGACAAAGGCATTTAGGACATTCCTTTCTAGTCCATAACATGCACACACACATACACACAGAAGCTAATTTCAAACATAGCTAATTAGTCATCATTAATTAAAGTGATGGACAGTTCAGCAAGCTAACAGCCATATGGGTAATGTCAATATTATCTGCTTAACATGTAGAATCAATCTCTTCCTGTCACACTTTGACTTCCTAGGGGTATGTGTTGGCCAGTTCCAGACTTCCCTGTTGGGAGGAAGGTGTTGTACAGGTGGAGGTCACCCTAAGTACAATGAAGAAGGTAGTCCAGGTTATAGGCAAGGGAGGAGATGGGGGAGGCGGGAACGGGGTGCAGAGAAAATTCTTACAGGACCAGAGAAGCAGCACAGCCAGGGGACCGCCACCCTCTCTGCTCAGCCCCCAGGACAAAAGTCCCAAGGAGATCCTATAGGAACCAAAGGACGTCACAGCACGGCACAGGTACCTGATGCCTCCAACTGACCGTACTGACGGAGGCCATAGCACCAGCAGAGGCAGCAGCAGCAGTAGCATGGGGACTGGAGGAGGGGGCGAGTTCAAAGTCACCAGGAGTCAATGGGCAGGACCTAGGGACACCCAGAGGACTGGAGAATCTTTGGCCGTCCCAGGCAGATGAGGCCCAGGCCACGAGACAGCAGGAGCTGACGGAGGCCTGGACCATGGTCATCACTCAGAGCCCAAAACCTGGGGGTCCTTAAACACTTCAGCGTCCTCAGGCCTGAGAGACCCTGAGAAGGGCCTCAGGCGCACTTCTTCAGGGGGGTTGGAGCGCCTGTCTCGGCTTGTCCCATCTCTCAAAAGTGGAACCAGAGGAAAATTCTTCCAGTGTTTCCCTGAAACTGAAGTGGGGAGGAGGAAAGGTCATTCAAAGAATCTGGTGCAGGAACTGTGCCTTCAATAGCCCTGAAATGGCCAAGGGGATGGGCCACTTGCTCCTCTATGAAATCCCTGATGCTTCTCCCCTTGCGGCTTGTGAGAGAACCGTCAGCTCCCTCTAGCCCCCCAGCTCTGTCCTCTCCACCTCTGACTCACTGGCCCGTCTGGCAAATCAACTCTATCCACCATTAAAGTGAGACGGTAATCCCTGCCCCTTCTAAACCTGTGAAGAAGGAAAACATGGGAAATGGGGGTGGCGAAGGCAGATGGGGCATTCCAAGAAACTCCAAGGAGAAAAAAAAGCCTTCCCTGTGGCAGTGCAGGGCCTCTTCTCCTCTGACCTTAGAACTTCGAAGGGGGCCTAGACCAGAAGCTGCCAGGGCACCCGCGGGGTGGAGGACACCTGGACCAGGTTTTCCTGGGTGCAAAGATGGCTCCCTGTCCCCTAAGCTACGCAGCTTCCAAATGAAAACACAATACGTAAAAGGCAGAGGGCTGCACTGGGATTAAACTAGGATCTGGGCTTGACACAAAAGCCCCAGAGGCCAAAGCCAGACAGGAAGCCCCCCACTGAGGAGGTAGAAAGGAGTGCTCAAGGTAGATGGAGCAAACAGGACGCAGGGTGTGACCAGCCAGAAAAGAGATCACAGAAGACTACCACGGAAGCCTCCACCAGGAGTTAAGCTTTCACAAAGTTTGCTCAGTCCCAGAACAATTCTTCCCCTCCCCTTTCCTGTTCTCTTTGCTTATCTGCATGATAAAGGCGCCTCTGGACTACCAGACATCCCAGGCATTTTGGAGCCATGCTTGCTCCTCCCATTCTCTTGTCCCCTTCCCCTATTCCACAAAATTGTACTTAAACCATACCTTTGACCTGGCTAACTGCCTTTGCCTCCTACAGGGAACAGGGCCTGTGGCCTCCCAAGCGAAGTAGAGCCCACTGGGGCTCTGCCTCATGGGGAGCAGGCCTGCTTGGGTGCATCACCCCAGTACATGCCTTTCTTTAAGTTGGAGACTGAGTGAATTCTTTCAGGATACTAGGACCCACAGGTCTATTCCTCATCATTTCTGGGGGCTCCCCAATATTCTCGGGGTCCACTCTGAACTCATCACCAGTGGTTAAGAGAACATCGTCTTGGTGAATTCTTTCATACCTGAACTGCTCTCTCGAATCTGACCTCAACACTACCACCCTCACCCTCTGAGTGGCCTCTTTGTGGGAGCAAAGGACTGCCCCCAAAAAGTTGCCTGCCCATCGATGGCAGGATGGTCCAGCCAGACTGGGAACGAGCTGGAATCTTACTGTGCTGAACAGGGATAATGTGAAGAGTGAGGAACAGTATCAAGGGAGGAGGGGAGAGGGGAGCCAGCTGACTCGGGGGAGCACCTTAGTGTGGAGAAGTGACTGCTGGACAGATCTGAGCAGCCCAGGACTGCAGGCCCAGCCCTCACAAGGGGAGAAGGGCCCAACTGTCTGTTAGCCTCGGGCAGCCTAGGACCAGCTGTTTTCCTTTTCCTGACCATTATAGTAGGCCAGCACCTTCCCAAGTGAGGTGACTACTTCAGGGGGAGCCTGCCTCTACCCTACCCTCCTTCCCTTTCTGCCACAGGCCATAGGGTAAAGATCTCTCAGTCCCCAAGGACAGTCCGTATCTGCCTGAGAACCTGCTAGGGCACTCACCTCGACTGGAGCGTAAGTTAAAACTTAGAGTTCGCTTGATCCCCTCACAGTTTCCAGGGTCCTCATTGATGATGCCCAGGTTAGTGTTCCAAGTGGTCCAATTGATCTCATCAACTCTGCAGAAAAACCGTCTGAGTGAGAGGTTCCCCTTACAGGATAGTTTCCCTCCCCACACGGGGTCTCAGTCTCCCTATTTGCAAAAGGAGGGGCTGGAAACTGGAGAATTCCTGCCTGGCCTGGGTGCCTGGGGAGGGGTCTTGTGGCCAGGGGGTCATGCCAAAGGACCATCAGCTAGTTCCTGGGAGGGAACTCCAGCCCTAGTGCTAGCATCATAGAATCCCTGGGCCCCTCCCAGTTCTAACATCCTATAAATGGGTAAGTCTATTAGTCTGCTCAGTTGCCCAGACTCAAGATTTGGCAAACAGGGAGTCCTGTTCTAAAAGTCAGCAAGTGATGGGGCATGTTTGGTACAGTGCCTGGCACATAGTAGGTGCTTAACAAATGCTAGTAGATTATTATTGACTGAAGTAGATGCTCTGGGAAGCAGCAACAGCAGTACCAGGCCTGTGAGCTGGTAGAGTTGGGAGCTTCTGGCAATAGGGGGACAAGAAGGGCCCCCAAATCTCTAACCTGTCTCAGTGTCTGGTATTCTTTCATTAAAGAATCACTCCTGTGCTTGGCTGATAGCTATGAGGGAACCATAGAGATCCCAAAGGTCCAAAGCCTCATTCTGTGGTGTCACACAGCAGAGCTGAGTCCAGCTGAGGCCTCCTGACCCACCACAAAGCTGGATGCTAGAAGGGATTTGGATGGATGGCTCGCAAGTTCTTCCTGGGGAATACAATAAAGGGTGCACTTTTATCAGAAGGGTCCAGAAGGAGTATAATCTGTTAAGAAGATGTACTCATGGGAGGAACCCCAGAGAGCAGGAGCAGAAAGCAATGTGGAGAGCATTTGGGTGAAGGTCAAAGGAAGGAGGGACAGCCCACAGAATACCTAGAAAGAGAGAGGAAAGAGATGAGGAGCAGCTCAGGAAAAGATGATAAGCCAGGCACAGAGCTATGATGTAGGAGTGAGGGAGAACTCCAATTGTCCTGGCATCTGATGGATGTGTGTGTGTGGGGGCCCATTTTTGTCTCTTTCACTTTCTGTCTCTGCCTCTCATAAAATGGTAGCTCAGAACTTCTTGGCTTGCTTTAGTGATAATTTCATTCCATTCTGAGTCTGATCCTTCCTGCCAGGGAGGACTTGGTCACGGGAATGGAAAAGATTCTTCCCTCCCCTTTGTAGAGTTGGTGAGAGAGGAGAGGCCTTTTGACCCCAAGAAGAGAGTCAACTTTTGCTGGGGTTGAACAAGGCAATGGTAACTGTCAAAAGAACCCAGCGGCTCTGCTCAGGTCCTCTTTTGCTGAGAAAATGACCTTTGCACCAGGAAGGTCTCCAGGAGCCAAGAGGTGCCCAAGATGCACAGGGCAGGCCAAAAGGCGTCCAAGCTGCCCTGGATGGACTCAGGGGCTTTGGGCCGGATGAACTTGTCCCAGCAGAGACATCAGTAACAAGCCCCTGTCTGTAGTGACATGTTAAGAGCATGGAAGACAGGAGTGCATCGCAAGCTGGAGAGGGGAGAATACGGATCCCCTTCTTTACAAAGGGAAGGGAGCAGAGTCTGCAAACAACAGGCCAGTGAGTTCCACCTCCATGCCTGGAAAATCCCTGAACAGGTCGTTGTCATGGACAAGGCGGGGGAGCACCTGGAGTGGGCAGCAGCTGTTTAAGAGGCCAGCTGGGCTTCGTTAGGAACACATCCTGCCAGGCTAGCGGTTTCCTTTTCTGATGGGGTTTCTACACTGAGAGATTAGGCAGATGCCATTAATAGTTTACCTGGATTTTAGCAAAATATTTGCTAAAGTGTCTCATTCTATTCTTGCAGAGAAGATGGAGATTGTTGTTTTCCTTTGCTCTCGAAGAGGACCGCGACATCATGGAGGTGCTGCCATGCCATCCCAGTGAATTGGAGGTGAAGGAGGGCTGGGCAAAGTCACCAGCCTCACTTTCTCCTCCAGAGCCACCTGGGTCCAAGGGCCAGATAGAGATTAGGAGGCTGGAGATGGCCCCAGAAGATGAAGACAGGTGGATCAGATAATAATACAAGTAAATGGACTCAAAACTGGTTGAATGGCCCTACTCCAAGAGTAGTTGTTAATAGTTCTGGAATTTGGAAGGAGGTTTCCAGTGGAGGGCCCCAGGGATCTACACTTGGAATTCACTATTTAACATTTATCATTCTCTTGGATAAAGGCATGGATGGTAGGCTCATCACCTTCACCAGTGGTGGGTAGGGATCCTGGCAACCTAGAGTACTAGATTGGATCTAATGAGACAGCCCTATTTAATAGGAATCAAAGTAAAGGCTTGTACTTGGGTACAGAAAATCAACTTCACAAAGACAGCGTATGGAAGACAGGATTTGGGATCAGTTTATCTGAAAAAGATCTGGGGGTCCTAGTAGGACCACAAGCTCAGTATGAGCCAGCCATGGAACATGGCAGCCAAAAAAGGCTAATGTAACCTCGGGCTGTGTTGAGAAGCAAAGCATCTAAGAATAAGGAGGTGTTCAACCATTTCTGTCGTGTCTGACTGTGACTCCTGTTGGGGTTTTCTTGGCAGAGATATTGGAGTGGTTGGCCATTTCCTTCTGCAGCTCATTTTACAGATGAGGAACTCAGGGAAACAGGGTTAAGTGACTTGCCCAGGGTCACACAGCTAGTCAGTATCTGAGGCCACATTTGAACTCAAGTCTTCCTGACTTCAGGCTGGGCACTCTATCCACTGTGAAGTAACCTAGGAGGTAATGCTCCACCTCTACTCTATCCTAGTCAAGTCACATCTGAGCTACTGGGTTCAGTTCTGGCTGCTATAGTTGGAGAAGGACCTTGATGAGCTGGTGAGAGGCAGAGAAGTCTGGGTTAAGGGCAAAAAAAACTGGAGCCATCCCCAAGCAGCACAGGCCATCTGGGGAGGTGAGGATGTGTCTGGCCCCTCCTTGGAGGCTGTAAGCAGAGGCTCAGCAACCACTCCTCACTAGGTTTAGGTGGTGATTCCATTCAGGAATGGGGTGGACTAGTGGCCCCCTCTGAGAGCTCAGCATTCCATGCCTCCAAGGGTCCCACTTTGCTCTATCATTTCAGGGACACTAGGTCATCTCTCCAGCACTCCTGATGAATGTAATAAAACACACACACACACACACACACACATATACACACACATACACACACACACACTGCCGGTGATGAGAGCTACTGTCCTAACACATGTGGCCAATAACAGTTCATGAAGAATGCCTGAGGCAGCACATCCCCTGACTGAAGCAAAGGCAGTCCAGGAAGATGAGGAAAAGAATCCTGGGGGACCAAGCCCCTGAGGCTGCTGCCAGGCTGGCTAGCTTGGCTCAGGGTCAAAGGTTAGAATCAGGCCCCATTGGCCTCTGCCCCCAAACTCTGCACCGAACATTTGTCTATCTGGGTAGTCACCGCTACAGACTTGGGGATCCCTCCTTTGTGTGTGTTCAGCCCCTGGCCCCCCAAGTGTTCCACCTTTTCAGCTAACCTATTTGCTTCTCTGTGTAACAGGGATTGGCCAATGGGTAAGGGCCCAGTCTTTGAGCATGCGCGCATATGGAGGTGGGGGCACCTGCTTCTAGGAAAATAGAATCAGGAGTTCTGCCCTCCCTCCACTTCAGAGTTTTCTGCGAATGATGCTAGTGGCTGCCTTCAGTAGGCTGCAAAACCACAACTGAGGCTTCATACGAAAGGCACAAATAGGCCCAGACTCCCAGGTCCCTCCCTAAGGGCCCCAAGGCTGAGGACAAACTCCAAGGGCTGGGGGTGGGGAAGGGGGGGAGGGAGTGCCCTTCCTGGCCCCACTGAGTCTTGGGGCAAGCCTCTGTCTGGGTATCCTCCTCTTTGGGTCTCCTTCCCTTTTCAATTTTCCAACTAGACTTCTCATCATCCAGCTGGAAGCTGATGAGGACTTGTCTCAGAATGCTGCCCATGCTCTCAAGGGGAGGGTGGAGGTATCTATTCCACTTGTCAGAGGCAGGTTCTCCAAGTATCCAGGTGGCTGGCACTGACAGGTAGCACAGGCCCCTGGTGGCCAGCCCCCATCCCATTGGTCATGACCTTCCAGGCCTCCCTCTGCATGTGTGACTGCAGTGCTCTCGCTCTCTCTCTCTCTCTCTCTCTCTCTCTCTCTCTCTCTCTCTCTCTCTCTCTCCTCCTCTCCCCCTTTCTCTCTCCCTCCCCTGTCCCTCTCTCCCTCCCTCCCTTCCTCCCCCCTGTCTTCCTCTCTCCTCTCATTCTCCCTCCCTCCCTCTCTCATTCTTCCTCCCTCCCCCCCATCTGCCTCTATCCCTCCCCTTCCCTCCCTTTCTTCCTCCCCCACCCTTTTCCCCAGGAATGCCTGGGCCAGCCCCTCATCTCAGGCTCACCGGAAGCACCACCTGTAGTCTTCCCTCCCATCAGGTGTGTAGCCCACCTGAACTAGCTTCCCTGACCGGAAGGCCTTCCTCATGCAGTTCAGAAAGCTCTTCTCAGTGTCCAGGATGGTGATGGCTCTCTGCAGGGAGAGGGCCCAAGGAACTTAGCCCGAGGCTGGCTTGGAGCAGCCCATGTACACCTTTCCCACCCTGGCCTGACAAGGGCAGCAGGACACAGGGTTGGGACATTCTCACTCATGCTCCAAGCAGTGAGAGGCAGCCCCAGGTCTGGGGAGCCAGTGGCCAGTGTGCTGGGGGAGGGCATGGGTGTGGACATGGGTTTGGAACAGTAATAGAGAAATCAGGAGGACAATCAGGCCTCGTGCTTGGTGAGGAAAAGGAAAAGCATGAGCTCCCAAGGGCTGCTTTCTGTCTCCTGCCTGGTCTTGAGCCTTGGCCTCCGCCCAGCTAAGCAGGAGGTCCAGGGTGTCACTGAAGCTTCCTCTCAAGCTGCTCAATGCCCGGGCCTAGCTTCTCCCCCTTGTCCCTGCCCCAGGGCCCACCTCCTCAAGGGCACCTGCCCTGACTCCAGCAGCCTGCCCAGTCTGACCCTGGCACTTGCCAGGGCCCCCCAACACTTAGTGCTGGCCCCCATGTTCTCAGTCTGCTTTTCCGGGGTCTCATCTGTGGGCATTGTGCCCTCCATCCCCTCCCCCATCCCAGCAGCACACCCCTGCCCAATTCTGGCTGGGTACACATGGCAGGCCTGTGGTTTCCTTCTGCTGCACAGAGCTAGCCTGACCGGGATTGGAGGAGACATAGAGAGTGGGGACACACCTTTGCTCTGGCCAGACAGCTTTGCCAGAGCCTCTCCTTCCACTCTAAATCCAGCTGGCCGCTGGCCTGGGGCTCATCTGCCTTTACATGCTCTAAGGGTCAGTTCTGTCAACATGCACTGAGTGTGCCCACACACACACACACTCACACACACTCACTCACATACACACATCTACTGATATGCACACTCACACTCACATTCACATCTTCACTCACACACACATACACAAACTCACTGCACACACACCATGCTTACACATGCACAGGTGCTTATACACTTACATGTATGCTCACACATCTACACCCCTTCACATGATCACTCACACACATATATACATGTGATCACAAACTCACTCATACACATTCACACCATGCTTTCACATGCACACACACATGTTCTCACAATACACACTCACAGTTTACACACATGCTCACACACATACATACACTCACACTCACACACATTCACATGCACACACACACACACTCACACACTGATTACACATGCACGCAGTGCCCTCACACTCACACATACTCACACAGGTGCACCTACTCTCACCCACCCCCTCATGCTCACACACATGCTTTCCCACATACACACTCCCACATCCACGCAGATGCACTCATGCATGCACTCGCACCCTTGCTCTCACACATTCACACACTCACATGCACGCATACACACACAGAGGACCTGGAGCTTCCAGATGTTTTTGCTCTCCTGGGCAATCTTATTGACGGTCTCCCCCATCAGGGCAATGAGCATGTTCAGCAGCAGGATGTAGGTCAGGATGACGTAGGCCAGCAGGAGGATGATGAAGACTGCCTTGAAGTCGTAGTTCTCGGTGAACTCCAGGTCCCCCATGCCGATGGTGAACTTGAAGAGCTCCAGACACGTGGAATACAAGCTGTTGTAGGAGCTGGTGCATGGCTTGCAGCTGGTAGAGCGACGAACCCCATGGCAGGCAGTCTCTGTGCTGTTCTGTCCGTCCTCAATCAGCGTCACCACCGCTGAAGGGGCCCAGAAGGAGTTGGGGGTGCTGTGGCTGAACCCCCCCCCATACTTGCTGCCCCCAAATGCCAGTCCACCAGGCCGACCTTCTCCCAGTGCCCAAGGGGTGGCGCATGCTGACCTAGCATTCCTGTCCTGCCTTGCCTCCCTCATGGAGAAAGCCCCCCTGCCCACCCCTCAGGGCCCTCTGGAGATCTGCTTACCTGTGGAAAATCCAAACAGGAAGACCATATAGACAAACATAAAGCGACACAGGTCTCTCAAGATCATCTGCAAGGAGAGGAGAGCCTGGTCAGAGTGGCCCTCTGGCCTGGGAGGCTGCCTGCTCAGGTTCCAGGCGTGCTTCTGTCCTGTCTAGCCTCTTCCTTACCTGGGGCTTACTCCCCAGACGTGCCGCTGATGGCCAGCTTTCTATGGTAGAAATGGAACAAGCCTTGCTTGACATACTGCCCACTCCCGTTTGGGGAGACTCCACAGGGCCTGAAAGATGGCTGGCCAGGGTCAGGGGTCAGTCTCAGCGGCCCCTGCAGGCTCCCACCCCAGAGGCAAGAGTGCTTCTCTGTTTCATGACAGAAGAAACATTGTATCTAACATGTTACTGTATCCTTTTCATTGCAAGTGACCCAGAAATCCTGCTGTGCCTAATTTCATGGTTGCACCATACATCGTATCCAGTGTGTTACTGTCTCCTGTACAACGCTATGTTACAAGGATGTCACTGTTTTAATGGAAACTTGTTCTAAGCCCTGAGTCACCTGGACGGCGCTTCAGGTGAGAGTGGATCCCTCTCTGCTGATCTGGGAAAGCTAAATGAAACAAAAAACGAGGAACCCGTCCCAACAGCTCTGAGCCCCCAGTTAGGACAGTTCCTCCCACTTAGGTGGAGGTCGGGCTCTTTGCCTTATTTTACATTCTATTGTCACTAGCTAACCCCTAACTTCTTGCAGGTGGGATCACATTCAGGTTACTGGGAACTTTGGGGGGAAGAAGTGAGCAGAATGTAGAGGGTCTACTGAGAGGCAGGCCCTGGGATGGGAAGTTGAGGCAAAAGCCAGCTCTTCTCTCCCAGGATTTCCCTCAGGCCCCTCTGAGGAGATGGTACAATGTCTGAGGCACCCTTGGGCCTTCCTCTCCTCTCTCTTCTCCCCGACGTAGGCCAGCTCTGCTTTCTCTTTTCACTGGTCACTCCTCCATGGCAGTTTCTTTCCTGCCCAGCTCTGGATGTGGGCATTCCTTCCTCTCTGCTGACAGACCCTCAATATCCGTCCTGAACGAGCTCCAATGTGTTGTGTAAGCTCCTCGGGGAGTGAGCCTGGCCTGACCCAAGGAGAACAGACTCCCTGGCCCGCCTGACTGAACCATCTTTGGCTAATTCAATGGAACCTAAGCCCCATTTATTGCTCATTTTGATGGGCTGAAATAAGCCAGAAGGGTTCTTCCCTAGCAAAGACAATGACTTTTAAGGAGGAGTCATCAACCCCTCCCCCCCACTCATGCTGAGTGGGCTTTGTGGTTCAACATTTCTCACCCTTCTCACTGACCTCTCACCTCTGACTCTAACCCCTTCTTTTCACTCACTAATCAATAATAATAATAATAATAATAACAATAATAATAAACAGCTTGCATCTGCATAGCATCTGCTATGTGCCAGGTGCTTACAAGTATCATGTCATTCAATCCTGACGATAACCCTGGGATGGAAGTGCTGTTATCATCCCCATTTTACAGATGAGGAAACAGAGGCAGGCAGCAGTTACATGACTTGCCTGGGGTGCCCCAGCTAGGAAGTGTGTGAGGCTGGCTTTGAACTCAGACCTTCCTGACTCCAGGCTCAGTGGTCTGGGTCCTGTGGTGCCTTGCCATGGCCCCACATCTACCACCCTAGTCCAGGCCCTTAGCACTTCTCACCCAGGAAAGGACTGGCTCTCAAGACTGGTCCCCCTGCCTCTAGTCCTCACCCCTCCAATTCGCCTTCAGCTCACATCTTCCCCCGTGTTTGATCTTGTCCTGCCAAGCCTCAGCCCAAAATGACTCCTGCCGTCTTCTGTTTGCTCCTTCTCAGGAAACTGGCCTGACACACTGCTACAAGATTGTGGTATATTATCTCCCCAGGCCCTCTCTGCAGCAAGGAAGTATTTGCACATGCGCATGTGAGCACACACACACACACACACACACACACACACACACACACACACACAGAGCCCATTCACTGGGAGCTCCCCCTTCTTCCCTCTCTCCTCTTCCTCTCCTATCTCACATGATGAAGCAGCCTCACTTCCTACCAGGGCCAACCTCTCTCCACACAAGTGATCCCCTTTCATCTTGTCTCCTCCAACAGATCGCCCCCTCTCTCAGCCCCACTGTCTCTCCTTCTCTTCTGGCTCCTTCCCTACAGCCTACACACATGCCCAACTCTCCTCCTCCTGATGAAATTCTCCCTTGGGTCTTTCCATCTCTCTTAACTGTCATCCTATGTCTTGTCTGTCCTTTGTGGCTAAACTCCTCTATACTAGGCCCCTCCGCTGTCTCTCCTCTCCCTCAGCTTAACCCTTACAGTCTGGCTTCTGACCTTATCATTCCACTGAAACTTCTCTCTAGAGTTACCAGAGATCTCTTAATCACCAAATCCAGTGGCCTTTTCTCAATCCTCATTCTCCTCCACCTGCCTGCAGCCTTGGACACTGGTGGTCATTCTCTCCTCCTGAATACTCTCGTGGTTTTCAGGAAACCTTCTCGCCCCTCCCCACCCTCCCCACCCCAGTTCTCCTCCTTCTCTGACCACTCTTGCTCTGTCTCCTTTGCCGGATCCTCCCCAAGACCACACCTCCCAGCGCTGAGTGTCCCTCAGGCTCTGTCCTGGGCCCTCTGCTCTTCTCCCTCTACAGTAACTCACTCAGTGATCTCACCAACTCCCATGGATTATCTCTGGGCTGATGATTTGATTCTCAAGTCTACTTTTCTTGCCCCAGGCTCTCTGCTGACCTCCAATCTCTCATCTCCAATTTATTTTCAGACAGCTCAAACTGGGTGTCCAGTAGACATCTTAAACTCAACATGTCCCAAACTGAACTCATTATCTTTTTTTTTTTTAACTTTTCCTCTTCCTTCCTTCCTTGTTTCTGTCAAGGTCAGACATGAAGATGGCACGGTCACCCAGTGCATCCCGGGCCATCGATGGCCAACCTTCCTGCCACTGGACTTGGATGATTCCGGAAGAGAAAGCGAGGCTGCTGACTTTGTGCAGCTTGGCCTCACTTCAGCCCAATTCACCTGTGATGTCATTCGTCCTCTTTGAAAATGAAAAGTGAACAACACCAGCATTTCTGCCAAGGGGAGTGCCATCCTCCCAATCACCGAGGCTCACAACCATGAGTCAAAGGGGCATGCTTGACTCCTCTCCCATTCCCCCCAATCTACACCAATCCTGCCATGTAAACTTTCCTAACATCTCTTCTCTATGCCCCTTTCTCTCGCTCACATTGTGGGGCCTGGGCGCAGGCCTTCATCTCCTCACATCTCGACTCCTGCTACAGCTGCTGGGAGGTCTGCCTGCCTCAGTCTCTCCCCACTCCAGCCCATCCTCCTCTTGGCCGCCACAGTGAGAGGAAAGGCCTGACCATACTGTGGTCCCCCTCAATCAACTTCGGGATCTCCCTCCTGCTTTCACGATCAAATAAAAAAGCCTCTGTTTGGCATTCAGAGACCCCTCCCATCTTTCCAGGCACCTCACCAACCCCCTTTCCATGTACTCTCTGGTCCAGTGACACTGGCCATCTGGCTGTTTCATCACTGGACCCAGAAGAGAAAGGGAAGCTGGTGACTTTGCCCAGCCCTCTCTCACTTAAATCCAATTCATTTGCAAGTCACGGCATCACCTTCTTGATGTCATGGTCCTCTTCGAGAATGAAGGACAAACCACAGTTCAACACAGTGCTGACTGAAAGTCTGAGAACATAAATGTCATCACTGGAATGGTTACTAGCACTCTTCACACCTTTGGGAGGAGTCACAAGAAGATTCCCTCCTGAACTCGGAGATAACCTTTGTTCACTCTGATCAGATAATATTGGAGAAGGAAGTGGACCAACCAGGGCCTGTGATAACAAGAAGGGACCGAGCCTTGCAAGCCAACACACCAAAGTGACGCTGAGGGTCCAAGGATGGCTGTTTTCATCCTTGTAGCCAATTCTCCCAGAGACTTTCTAAAGACCAAGTTACCTTCTCCTAACCACAGGGCAGTGGCAGTCAGAGGTCATAGGACCCTTACAGTGTTTATTCTTTACAAGGAATGGAGTAGATTAGAAGACTAGAAGGACCCCTCCTCTGCCTCTGGAGACCTATCTGGTCTGATGATGTTTTTGTCCAGCTCTCTCCCCTTCCTCAGACCCTCTGTAGGGACAGTAGCAATCACAAGGCACCAGCCACAAGTTTGAGCCACAAGTGCCATCTAGACCATGCAGGCCCAGAGTCTTAGGGCTCTTGAAATCACCAACCTTCTCAATCATGACTGAGTAAATCCCCATCTGCTGAAAGCCTCGGGTATAGTAAAGCATGTTGGTCCAGCCTATCGCCAGAGAGAACACCATGGAGGCCACATATTCCTTGCAACGGCTGAAGTACAGTGCAACGGAGATCAGGAGAAACACAGACTGGATAAAACTGAGAGATGAAAGACACAGGACAGCAAAGACTTCAGGGGGAGCGAGGACTCAGGCCCCTGTCTGGAGTGTCTCCCACCTCTATCTGAGGTGGTTTCTACTTTGAGGTCCTCCTGACCCTGTCCAAAGCACATAACTGGCCTGGATGGACCCTGCAGGATATTCAGGGGCATCCTTGCCCTAGTCTTAGGAGCTCCAGCACAAGATTTGGGAAGCTGCTGGTCCTTCCCCCACCCTCCCCCCCATATCTCCTAGAGTGAGCCCAGGAACCTTGTACAGATACAGTATAAACATGTTCCACTTGTACATTGCCTTCTACATGGGCCTTCACAATGACTGGGGGGTGGTGAAGACAGAGCTGTGCCATGAAAAAAAAAAACTACACAGGCAGAAAACCTGAGTTCAAATCCAGGCTCAACCACCAACTAGCTATGACCTTGGGAGAATCACTTCCTTGATCTGTGCCTCAGTTTCCTCATTTGTAATAAAAAGAGCTTGGACACTGTATGATGATTGTAAAGGTCTCATCCTTTCTGTCAAGCAGAAAGTTACTTGTGCCTTCAGTTGAAAATGCCACTATTTTAATTGGCTCTGTGCAGGGCTGGTCATGATCATGGGGGGATGCAGGTGGGAGATTGTGTGTGCAAACAAAACACATCCATATCTAACATTTCATCACAAGGTCATGGCATCTTTCCAGCCCCAGCCAGATCCTGTGTCTAACCACCAAGCTCCCTGAGGTCAGGGACTGTGGACAGCATTGTTTCAACTCCAGAACATCACAGACCCGCAGAATACCAGAGCTGGAAGACTCTCATTTTGCACCTTATCCTGGACCCACTGCCCCCAGCCTAGGTCAGGACCACTGATGCCTGCTGCTTCTGAAGGCCCCTGAGAAGAGACACTGTCTGCTTGCCCTCCTGCTTGGGCGATCTCAGCCTGGGAGGCCCTTGCAGGCAGTGTGTGCTCCTCACTCTGGAGGTGGCCAGTAGAGGGGCTCAGCAAGCAGTCTGTGAGCGGCCTTCCTTTGCCCCTGTGAGCTCAGCACTGAGGGTGTTCCTCCATCACCTTAGCTAGTACACCTGGGGGACAGACAGGGTGAGTGTGAGCCTCCCCCCAGCCCTACCAGGAATGATGTCTCAGGACAGAGGGTGTGATCTCAGGGGTCAGCCCAAGAGACTGCCAGGCCTAGAGAAGGCAATCACACAGCTCAGAAGGAGCAGGGCTTGTGTTTGAACTTGAGCCATCTGGCCAGATCCGGGTCACCTCCCCTACCCCCATTACTGCGCTTGAAAGCTGCTGGCAGAGGTAGGGCCCCATAGCCTTGGGCCCTCTGGCAGCCACTCCCAGCCCCACCCCTGCCTGGGTCAGAACTTACAAGAGCACCTCGCTGTAGCTGTCCACAAACAAAGTCTTGAGGGAAGGCCTCCGGTGTAGAAAGTACTGAATCTGTGGAGCACAGGGACCGGCAGGTCACCCTCTGTCTCCATCCTCACCTCCATCCTCACCTCCATTCTAGCTGCCTCTACAGAGCATATGGTGCCAGGCACTTCCCTCAGCAGAGGAGAGCCAAAGCCACCTGGCCAGGTGCAGTGGTATGGGGGGTGCCCCTAGCCCTCCAGAGCACTGCCCTCTGCCATCCCCCACATATGACACTCGGGCCTGGGACGCTCTCCTTTACCTCACCTTCTTGCCTTCCCAGCTTCCTTCCAAACTCAGCTTAAACCCCACCTTCTGCCAGAACCTTAACTCTGCCCTCTCCCTGCTCCTCTCCCACCATGGCCAGCACCTTCCCCCTGGGATTTCCTTTACATGTGGTCACCCCCATTGGACTGGGAGCTCCCTGTGGTCAGGGCCTGTCTTTGGCCTTTCTCTGTATACAAAGCACTTCGCACAGTGCCTGGCACATAGCAGCTGCCTGTTTACTGACTGACTGACTCAGTGAGCACCCACCCTACTTCCAGCCCCCTCACTTCACAGCTGAAGGGACTGAGGCTGAGAAGAAGGAATGCCAATATCCAATGCCACCCAGGTGTCCTGAGCCCATCACTGGGCAGTTGTAAGCACAGGTCCCTTGGCTTTCAGATATGCTCAGCGGGCAGCAGATAATACTGACCCCTCGGAAAAAGAAATAGATTCCCCCTAAAACTGACAGCAGCTCTCCCGTGACTCGGAAATAGGCGCCAGTGGTATAGTCAAATGTAAAAGGAGGCTGTAAGACAAGAGAGGGAGGAGGCATCAGTGGGGCCAGTGGGGTAGAGGGAGCAGGGGAGGGCCAGTTCAGGACCCCCTTCATGGACAATCCCCCCCAAAAAAAGCAGAAGCAGTGAGCACCAGGATTGAAGGCCAGGACCCTGTGAGGAGCAGCCTGGCTGATGCCCCCCCCCCCGCCACCGCCATCCCCAGGTGGGCCCAGACATACCAAGCCACCCACAGGCCGGTGGTAGGCAGCACATGTGAAGACTACCATGTACACAGAATAGACAAAGAAATTGAAATAGAAGATGCGTTTCACAAATCGGTCCCACTTGTCCTGCAGTAGACGGTTCAGGGGCTCTACCAACAGCATGTCATGGCGGTTCTGAGAGAGCAGAGAAGGGGGCAGGTGGTGTCACCCAGGCCACCCCTCCCCCAGCTTCCCTGGCTCCAGCCACCATTACCATCATCAAGTCAGGCCCAGGGCAGAGAACTGGGGATGGAAGACAGCTTAAGGCAATTGGGCCGACTTCTCCCTTAACACTTGAGGAAACTGAGGCCCAGGATGTGGAGGGGAGCTGCCCAAGGTCACACAGGTAGCCAAGTTGGGATTGGAACATAGGGCCTCGAAGGCCACACTCAGCTCTTTCTCCTCCCCCTGCCATAGGTAGAGCAGGCACCAGGTAGAACCCTGGTTCATTCCCAGTAACCCACAGGGACAGGGTCACCAGGGTATAGCAGGGTAGCCAGGGACACATCAGAGATGGCTTTGAATTTGATCACACATGCACACACATGTAGACACACATGCAGACATACACATACATTCATGCGCGCACACACACACACCCTACTCTCCATCTGAGCCTCAGTTTCCTTCTCCATAAAATAGAGCATTGGACAAGATTCAGTTCATTTTAACAGGGGTTGGGTAAGTGCCTGCTGTGGCTGTGTCTGTGTCTATATATGTAGCTGTAGTTGTATCTGTATCTAAATCTATACCCATACCTGTATCTATGTCTATATCTATGTTTATTTCTATACCCATACCTATGCCTGTATCTGTGTCTATATCTATACCTATTTCTATACCCATATCCACACCTATGCCTGTAGATGTACTTTTATCTGTATCCATACCTATACCTGTAGCCTGTATCCACACCTATGCCTGTAGCTGTACCTTTATTTGTATCCATACCTATGCCTGTATGTGTATCTGTATCTGTGTCTATATTTATTTCTATACCTATATCCACACCTATGCCTGTAGCTGTACCTTTATTTGTATCCATACCTATGCCTGTATGTGTATCTGTATCTGTGTCTATATTTATTTCTATACCTATATCCACACCTATGCCTGTATGTGTATGTGTATCTGTATCTGTGTCTATATCTATGTTTATTTCTATACCCATACCTATGCCTGTATGTATATCTGTGTCTATATCTATTTCTATACCTATATCCACACCTATGCCTGTATGTGTATCTATATCTATTTCTATACCACTATCCACACCTATGCCTGTATGTGTATGTGTGTGTGTATCTGTGTCTATATCTATGTTTATTTCTATACCCATACCTATGCCTGTATGTGTATCTGTGTCTATATCTATTTCTATACCTATATCCATACCTATGCCTGTATGTGTATCTGTATCGGTGTCTATATTTATTTCTATACCTATATCCACACCTATACCTGTAGCTGTACCTTTATCTGTACCCATACCTATGCCTGTATGTGTATCTATATCTGTGTCTATTATCTATGTTTATTTCTATACTCATACCTATGCCTGTATCTGTATCTGTATCTGTGTCTATATCTATTTCTATACCTATATCCACACCTATGCCTGTGGCTGTACTTTTATCTGTATCCATATCTATACCTGTGGCCTGTATCCATACCTATGCCTGTATGGGTATCTGTATCTGTGTCTATATCTATTTCTATACATATATCCACACCTATACCTGTATGTGTACGTGTATCTGTGTCTATATCTATTTCGATACCTATACCCACACCTATGCCTATAGCCTGTATCCATACCCATCTATGCTTGTACCTATTATTCCATGTCTATGTCTAGACCTAGTCCAATATCGACATGATGCCAAGCACTTTACTAGATGCTGGGCACACAGTGACAAAAGCAAGGCCACCCTTGACCATCCCTTCTACTTGAGTCACTTAGCCTGTCTGTGGGTAAGGAAATACAAAGCCTTGGCCAAAGAAAACTCCAAGATAGAGTGAGCATTCCCAAGTGAGGAAGGGGAGACAGGAAAGGCCTCCTAGAGGACATGGCACTGAAGCTGTGGCTTTTCCAAGAGGTGATAAATAGGGAAGGAATTCCAAATATGGGGAACCAGCTAGACATAAAGGCAGAAGACAGACCGTCACGTCTGGGGAACCAGAACAGAGAGTACATGCATCCCTTATTAGCTGTGTGACCTTGGGTGAGTCACGCACCCTGTCTGCCTCAGTTTCCCCATTCCTACCATGAGGATAATCATAACCCCTCCCTCCCAGGATTGCTGTGAGGATCCAATGAGAAAATGAATGTAAAGCACTTAGCAACCCCTGGAGTGCTAGTTCACTGTGATCTATTTAGTCAACACTCATTGATTAAGCACCTTCTGTGTGCCAGACACTGAGCTGAATGTTAGGGATTGGAAAAGAGGCAAAAGACAGAATAAATGGGAGATAGTCAATACAGGCCCGCCCAAGTATCAATGGGAACTGGGGAAGGCTTCCTGTAGGAGGGAGGTTTTAACTGGGACTTAAAGGAAGCCAGGGAGAGGCCAGTAGTCAGAGAGGAGGTGGGAGAGCCTTCCAGGCCTGGGAAATAAGCAGACAGAATGCCCAGAGCCACTTGTTGGAGGACCAGCCAGGAGGCTGGGGGGCCACTGGATGGAAGAGAACT